TCCCTCTGCCTCCTCGTTACGAACCTCCCTCTGCCTCCTCCTCATCCTCAGCCTCCTCTTCGAAGTCCCGCTTCTCGCGGATGCTGTTCGCCCGGTTCGCCGGGCTTCGTCTCGCCGGGCTTCGTTTCGCCGGGGTCGCTTTCGCCAAGTTTCGTCTCGCTGGGCTTCGTTCTCGGGGATGCGCATGTAGTTGCGAATGTCGTTTTCCAGGTGCGAGCCCCGTTGTTGCCAGTTGCCGGTCCCGTTGTTGCCAGTTGCGAGTCCCGTTGTTGCCAGTTGCGAGTCCCGTTGTTGCCAGTTGCGAGTCCCGTTGTTGCCAGTTGCGAGTCCCGTTGTTGCCAGTTGCGAGTCCCGTTGTTGAGTTGCGAGTCCCGTTGTTCCAGCTGCGAGTCCCGTTGTTCAGTTGCGAGTCCCGTTGCTCTTCCTGAATTTCCGTGATCGTTGGTAAATTGTATATGCATGAGCAGCGCCATGTTGCATTAACTCACCTGCTCCAAACGGGCGGCCTTTGCCGCGACAAACATTGCAGTTCCTCGTAACTATTTGCGGATGCGGTAACCGTTGTTTTGATGTAGATTTTTTTTCCTTTCGCCTATTGCGCCTTCATAAACCAACCTCTAGAAAAAAAACTGCGTATTCCCATGCTTCTCGTGGGAAATGAGCGAATCCCACAATTCCACGCCCCCGGATGAGAGACCTACCTCCTTGATGAATCCGTATTCAGATAATCAAACTTATTGCCTTCCAAGTCGCGATTATCTCCAATCAAGAACAAGAAAACGGCAGGCCGGTAGTCAATTCCTGGCCGGATAAATCTACCGCGTGTGGGTGCGTACCCGGAGCAATAAAACCTTGGGGATGCAAGAAGAAAACACATAAAACAAGACATTGTCAAAACGGTCAGGTGGAGGTGTAGATTGTTGTTGTGAAAAATTTGCGTGGCCTGGTTAAGGGTCAGTATCTGCATACGGTGTGTTTAATTTGTTGTATTGAACTCGGATATTAAGTATGTATACGTGCAAAATGAGGTGTATACGAATCGCTGTACGGATCCACGCTACGGTGATCTATGTTTTTGGAAGAATGATTTCCTTGTTTGGTCACGCTTTTCTCCTGGTGGGGAATTACAATATCAACAATATATAATACATATGTAAAACATTGGAGGAGGCTCCCTGTAGCGAAAAAACAATTGGGAGAAAAAACATGATGGGAAAACAAAAGTCTCGGGCAAGGGAGTCCGAAAGGGAGAGATGGGGCAGGGGTCGACCTGGAAAATGTTACTGTAGCTTACGAAAGTTGCGCAGGAGGGTTTAATGACGGATGCTTGGTCCAAATTGCGTATTTATCGCATTTCTTACGTTCAACTGAAATGGCATTATTTACGGTGTCAAAACCCATCCCACCCGGTTTATTTTTGGGACGGGGGTCGCAAGCCAGAATCTTTGCTGCTGACGGGTACACCCGCCCGCAGGAGGAAACGCACAGTGGCAATGAATTTGTCCGTTGTTTCGGACTCTGTTGCTCCATTACCCAAGAGATCATCCACAAAATCTGTCAAAAAAACCTGCTCGTGTAGGAATAACAAACGTAAGACTTCTTTTGCGCTTTCGTCGTTTACCCCAGGGGCCGGAGCAAACCCCATGGGTAAATATGTATAATGCCCGTAACGTTGCCTCCCAGGGGAACAAAATCCGAATTTGAAATAATCGTTCGGATGCAAACGCCAATTATAAAAAGGCATCAGCGAGATCCACAACGAATAACCAGCTGCCTGGAGCAACGCGCGAGAATGCTAAGTCTAAGGATCCATATTCGACGGGCACTTTCTGGGCTACTTAGATAAGCCCACTTTTGGTAAAGTCCACGGTTAGACGAGCTTTGACACTTTTGTCCGGGTTTTCTTTCAATAAACCGCATGGATTGACGAGGAGCTGTTTGGGGCGAGGCCCCGGCGGGAAAAAAATAAGCTTGCCGAGCCTTTCCAATCGATCCCACTCAGCTTCCGCATGCGACAGGTTATTTGTTATGCACTTCAGGCTCGATTGCATCCTCGAACACAAATTGGCGGCCCTGCTCCCACCAATGGAGAAATTGCGGATCAGCGCCAAGATCCCGCAACAGATCTATGTTTAGCCTGAGGCCCCGGATGCCCGAGCATCAAATTGCTCTGGCGTCGGCATTTGCAATTTCACGTTTAAGTGCATTCAACGAAATTGCCATGATTGCAAGCTGCAATCGCTTTGGGCCAGGTGCTCCGGAGAGACAGGACGAGGAGCTTAACAGCGTGTGCGGCCATGCGGAAACCGAAAGGTATGCTTCGCGCGGATGGCTTTGCAACGTCGCACCGGCCCAAATAGCACGGCAACGAACGAGCAATGAGTGCCAATAAAAGGCACGAAACAATACCCTCATGGGGCAGGCGCGAACGGCCGAAATGCGGCCCCGAAGTGGGCGAGCATTATAATGCAACAGTGCTTGGTGGGCAGGTCCAAACGGCCGCAAAAATAGCCCGAGGTGGGTGGCCCAAATGGCCCACAGCAGCCTGGAGAATGCACAATACATCCGCCAAGCCTGCTGCCCACACTGCCCACGAGCGGACAGTGCAGGCGGCCCAAATGGCCCACTGGCAACGCGGGGGCGTGACTCCCCGAGCTTGGTGGATACACAATTCATCCACCAAGCTGCCTGCGCACACTATGGCCCACGAAATGGCCTGACCAGAGAAAGCAACTATGGTACAGCTGGAGATCTCGGAATTTCCGAAGAGGTCAAAAATGCAGATAGCCCCCTCGATGCTGGGGTAAAGCATCACATGACAGCGAAGATACGAAGTCGAAACGAAAACACAACACGAAATCGCCAAAACACCGTTTAGGTCGAGCCCCGAGATGGGGGTGGGCTTCGGGCCGGGGACGCCCAATAGGGGGAGGTACTGTCCGTGGCCCGAACGGAAGGGGATGGCGCTTCCCTCCAGGGGTAAGAAGGAAAACAGTGGGGGGGAGGGGGGGGGGCACTCTCTTGGCAAGGGATGGAGGGGGGTGGCTTCGGTGGGCTGGAAGTGAAGGGCGGGGGGGGTACTCTGGACCGATGACGTGCTAAATAAGGGGTGGCCAAGGTGGTTGCTCGCCTGCTTGACTGGGTCCCCAGGGCGCGTGATGCTGCTGGCGCTTTGACGAGGTTTGCTGCAAGCGGCTGGATGTTTAAGACGAGGAATGTCCAAGGTGCCCATCGTTACGCGCAATGTTGCAAACATCCTCCCGATCAAGGGCGTCGATCAACATGCAATCGTGCACCGTCCTGGCCTCGAAGAGCAGGACCAGCAGAAGTGCAGAGGGCGTTGGAGGTGCAGAAGAAGGCACAAGAAGGTCAAAAACCAATACCTCCCCTACCAACAACAAGACACTACACAGTAAACACCAGAGGTGGCGGAGTACGGCAAGGAAATAGGAGCAGCAAGAGGACGGGAGGACGAAGAGCAAGATGATGACGAGATGCTGGTGATGGAGGTCCGCTGAGGCCGATATCGGATGGTCGTAGGAGAACATCTGGTGTGACCCTCCCCACGCGCAGGTGCATGAGGCGGAGTCTGAAGGACGAGGCGGACAAGGAGGACGAGAAGGTGCGATGGGGGAGAAGGGAGGAGAGGAATGCAGCACTTGCAACCTGTCTCAATTTGGACGGGGGACGCCGCTGAGCACACCGTCGTGTAAGCCGCCCTGGCTCGGGCTGAATTCGGCAGCGTCGTGCAAACCGCCCTGGAGGCGAGAATATGCAATACAGTCGTGCACACCGCCCTGACGCGGCGCATGCAATCATGCATATCGCCCTGGATAGGCGAGGACGAAAATCCCACCGACTCGCTCTCACGCGGCTCACTGCGCGAGCTCAATAACGACGACCGAGGGGCAACGCATCTGGTGTCATCCACATGCACCTCCTCCAAGTGCTCCTGCTGCCGCTCCTTCTCCTCCACCTGACTCCGATCTCCCCGCTCCCTCCTCATTTTGCCCCTCCCCCCGGATTCCTCCTCCCGCTGCCCCTCTCTCTTATGCACGAGCAGCACAACGATCAATCGATCTCCTTCCACTTCCAATCACTCCTCCTGCTCTTCCTGCCCGGCCTGTTCCTCCTTCTGCATCTCATGCTCTTCGCGCTCCTCATGGTACTCCTTCACATGGTACTCCTCACCCCATTATTTCCCGCTCCCTCTGCTTCTCCTGCTCAAGTCGCACCCCACCGTCCTGCTCATGCTCCTGCTCCCCTTGCTCCTAAACGTGATACACCACACGCTGCTGCTCCGTCCCCTGTGCTGGTGGTCTCTGCCGTTGCGACCTTCTACTCCTGCTCTTCCCCTTCCTGCACCCTCGCCCCTGCCCCCTTCCCACTCCCACTCCTCCTGGTCATTCTCCTGTTCCACTCCTGCTCATGCTCCTCCTGTTGCTGCTCCGCCTCCTCCTCCTCCTCCTAAGCGGACCAGGAGAGGCGTGCAGGGAAACATCACAACCATGGAGGATAAGGACGAGGTGGAGGACGACGAGGACGAGGCGAGCGAGGAGGATGACGAAAACATGGAGGCAATGATGCAGGAGACCGGCGGAGAGGAAGAGGGTGCGATGGAGAGTGATGCGGGACGATGGGCAAGACGCTCGAGCATCTGATGACGAATAGCGGGAGAACGAGAACAACGACGAAGCCGAGGAGGAGGCTGGCAAAGCTGACGGGGGCGGGTGGCGGCGATGAGGAGAGCGGCCACGTGAGAGGAGGAGGAGGAGGAGGAGGAGGAGGAGGAGGAGGAAAAGGAGGAGGAGGAACAGGAGGAGGAGGAACAGGAGGAGGAGGAGGAGGAGGAGGGCGACGAGGACGAGGGGTAGGAGGAGGAGGAGGCAAGCTCTTCGGCCGTAGCTGCTCAGACCAATTCGGGCCGCGGCGAGCTCGCGGATCTCCCCGGCAGACGCTGGGGCACCCCAGGGCCGCCAGTGCGCCGCGAAAGCACCCGCTCAGCGCGCGCTCGCCAGGCTCCTCTGCGAGGGAGGGAAGCTGTCACCACTATCTTTTCTGAACAATCACATATATATATATATATACATATATATATATATATATATATATATATATTTATATATATAGCACTGCGTTGTACAGGGTGGCCTCCCAGATGACTCGAGTCGGCGACTCGAGGCCAGACGTGAGATTAAAGGCGAAGCCCAGCGATATCACTATTTTCCAGCCGATTGTTGCCACACAACAAGCTTCACAACAGGACAAAGCACGAGCGAGCTGGCACCGTTGCTGCACACACTGAAACAAGATGACTGAACCGGCAGATCATTCTGAGCAGAGAGGCAGCAAAAAAGTCCAGCCGGCTGGATCGTGCACAAAGCCCCCCAAGGGTGGGAGGGATTGGGAAGACTTGAGCCAAAGCGCCCACGACGGTGAAGGGCGCTTGGCAAACATTCAACACTCACGGGAGGCCGATGAGCGACAGCACTACAGACGTTGAGAACAGTGTAATAGCACTGCGTTGTACAAGGTGGCCTCCCAGATGACTCGAGTCGGCGACTCGAGGCCAGACGTGAGATTAAAGGCGAAGCCCAGCGATATCACTATTTTCCAGCCGATTGTTGCCACACAACAAGCTTCACAACAGGACAAAGCACGAGCGAGCTGGCACCGTTGCTGCGCACACTGAAACAAGATGACTGAACCGGCAGATCATTCTGAGCAGAGAGGCAGCAAAAAAGTCCAGCCGGCTGGATCGTGCACAAAGCCCCATATCCCATATGTGGTTCTAGGGTCAGGGAGGGCGGGTATTCAGGATGCGAGCAAGCGAAAGGTCGAGCAGGGATGGGAGAGCAGCAGCCGCGCGGTTGCCATTGCGCTGCTGCTGCGCTGACATCCTATTCACCTGGCGAAGTAGCTTGCCTTCTTTTCCGTAGCGGGCGACAGACCGATCCGAGAGCCAGTGCCCCCGCCGCTTTATGAGCTCAAGACTGCCTCGCTTTTCCAAAAAATCTACCGACGGGCCGCCATGGCGAACGGTGTGTGGACACAGGCGAAGAGACTGCAACGACAGCGCCTGAGAACCACGGCGAAAAAGAGCCTCGTTAGCTTCAGCCGCTTAGCTCGGGCGATGAGACGTTCTAGCACGGCCCTGATCCAGGCGCGCTCCGGGCTCATCCCACCCACGATCACTGTGTCATCGTACTGCTGGTTTTTGGCTGGATTGCGCCCTAGACCGCTAGGCGCCATGATGACGGCGAGCTGGTTGTAGCGGCGGTTGGCGGCACTGGAGCCCGAGACGATGTGGTCCAGCGTCAGGGACAGCGTAGCGGAGGGCCGCCCGTAGACGTCGAACTGCACCACGGCGCACGCAGCGGCCAGGACGCCAGCGAGGTCCCCGAGCCCGATGAACCAGGTGGCCAGCAGCGCGAGCGCCTCCCACGGGCAGGGATCGCGACTGGACTCGGGTGCACGCTTAAGCCAGCCAGCGAGCGCCTCCACGGCGTGCGGGAAGGTGTCCTTGGGCCGCGGGAACCGGTGGACGTGTGCAAACCCATACAGGGCCTGCCGCCCCTCCCACGGCTCGCATCCATCCAGGTAGAGGTAATCGAAGTACGCCGAAAGCGAGAGGTCGACAGCGGCTGGGGAGGCTGGGTCGGCGCAGCGATTGGCCTCGGAGGCCCACTCCACGAAAGAGGCCTCCGAGAGACGATACTGCCTTGCCACTGCCGCCGACGCGGTGGACCGCTCCAGGTAGCCGTCGCCTGGGGTTTCGCCCGCGACTCGACGCCTGGCAGCCCTGCGCAGGGCACGCCGCCGCTCCACACCCACACGAGACGCTTCGAGGGCGGTCTCGACCTCGTCGCGGCCCGATCCAGCGGCGCTCGCCGCCCCAGGCGCTGGCGGCACGGCCCCGCGGCGACTGGAAGGCGCGCGGGCAGCGTGGGATCCACGGCTCGGCGGGGAGCGGCTTCTTGGTGGCTCCTGCCATGAGAGACTCCCACCTCTCCAGATCAGAGGCATGTAGGGCACTGGCTGGCGCGATCCTCCTCAAAATTTGAGCATAGGCCCTGCATAGACGGGGAGGGTACAGCCCAGCCAACGTGGTCTTCCAGGCCCAAGTCGACTTCCCATTGACGGCGATCTTTACTTTCCCAGACAAGTGTTCATGATAATGATTTCCAGGACACAACCGACTTAACTGTTTCATTTCGGGGATGTTGGTAGCAATACAGGTCGGCTTCATTCATGTAGTTAGCTCCATAGGCGCAGTTATCATATCGAACGAAGTGGGCTCCAGCACGATCGAGCTCACGACGAATAGGCTCCCAACGAAACAATCCCGACGATCTCGGATTTTCGAGTGTGAACAGCACCCCGTGTTGACGACATAGCCTGAGAAGGGCTCTAGTAAAGGTAGCCAACGACGTACCCCAGTTGGTCGACGAAGTCCCAGTACGACGAGCCACACTCCAGACGGTGCAGGGGGTAGCAAGATGGAGGGCCCAGACTCTTCCACGACGGATCTGGTTTTTCAAGAGACGCTGAAGCCGTTGATCTCCTAGATCATGATGAGGGCCTCGACGGATCTCGATGGGCATCCCGATTCCCAGACCCTCGTCGCTCACAGCCGCCGAAAGTGTAGCATGCCCAGCAAACACTTCGAGGAAGACGGGCTGAGATCGACGACGAGCAGATGCATCATGGCTGGCTTCCTTTTCGGGACTGGAACTGGCACGCTCTCCACTGGCGGGCGACAGGCGGGGCCCACACCGCCCCAGCCGGCGGCTGGTGATGGGCGGGGCGGCCACGGCGCGCACTCGGCGGCTCGGCGCTGCCCGAGCTGGCGCCGCCGCGGAGCCGCGGCCACTGCGCAAAAGAGCTCGCCCAGCTCGTCCGAGCTGAGCCTCGCCAGCGCCGACCTCTCCGCGATCGGCAGCACGCGAATCCTCGTCAGTGGGGTTCCTCTTGGTCTCCAGGTAGCGTTGGGTCCAAATCAGGCCACACGCAATTGTCAAAGCCCCGGCCCTCTGACAGAGACGATGGAGGCAGTGCGACTTCGCCCTGCCCTTCTCGAAGCTGCAGATGCAGGCCAGGTTGTCGCCGATGCTGAGTAGCCGACATCCGTGGAATCGAACCTCACGACTGGCTCGGACAAGGCCCATCAGCATCACGCGGCCCTCCTTCTCGTGGATCGCGGTGTCGTACCTCCAGCCTCCACGCACCACGCGTCGCCACCGCGCCGGGTCCACCAGCGCGTCAGGCAGCGGCGGGATGCCGACCACCGAAGCGGGGCGCTCGATCTCGTCAAGCTGACGCCAGGGCCGGCGCCATCCCTGGGAGGCGCCGTCCCCTGACTCCAGGTGCCCCAGCTGCGAGCATGCGCCAGTCCCGTGTTGAGCACGCCAGGCGGCGGCCCAGGGCAACGCAGGCCCCCAGCCCGCGGACTCCCGCTCGACAAGGTCGAAACGCCAGCGCTCACGGTAGGCGGCCACCTCGCGGTACTCGGCGTCGGAGATCTCTGCGACGTGCAGCGCGTAGCCCTTGGAGGAGGCATCCCCGCAGAAGGCCACGGGCGCTGGCTCCGAGCCCAGGTCGACGCCGGCCATGAAGACCAGCCAGCCCGCGACCTCGAGCTCCCAGCGAACCGAGTCCCAGAGCTCCGCCTCGTCGTCGTAGTGCTCCCCGATGAAGGCCCAGACCTTGTCGAGACTCGCGAGGGCGGCCCTGACCAGCTGGAAGTGGTGAACGAGGTGACCCACGAGGATCTGGACCACGCGGCCGCTGGCGAAACCCCTCCTGATCACCTCCTGCAAGGCTAGGTGGAGCCGCCAGGTGCGTCGCGGTAGAGGCCGGATCTGTCGTCGGACGCCATCGAACACGACCCCCAGTAGTTGGAGCTCTGGCGAGGCTACGTTTTCCTCATGGAAGTCGAGGGCCTTCGCGTCGAAGTCCCGCTTCACGTGCTCCAGGGCCCGCTGCGTCGACTCGGCGGTGATCCCGATGACGTTGGCGTTGTCGACGTACGGGAGCCGGACAGCCAGGCTGGGTGTCGGCGTCGGTGCCGCGTGCCTGTCCTCGACGACCACGCTGCTGTCACCGCCAGCGGCGGAGGTGGTGGCGTGGCAGAAGTACAGGGCCCAGTACAGGGCCCGATGATATCGGGCTTTGGGGCGGCCATACACCAGCGAACTCCACTACGGAATGCATCCGACCTTCGCCCACCACCTTCACAGACCGTCTACAACTGACCAACAACCAAGACAAAAAAAAAAAAAAAAAAAAAAAAAAACGATTCACCAACCATGAGAACAACAGGCCCAACTACCAGCAACGCAGACTTCATTGAGGCACCGAGGCGAGTCCCCTCGGGATCCTTTGACCGGTACTGGCCACAACATTCGGGAAGCAATGTTCGCATGCCAACACTTAGCCGATCACAGAGTCCAGCTGTACCAGTTGCCTCGAGAGCGCAAGACCTTGACGACACAATGAACCAACGTCTACCTGAGATACTCCCTCAGAATGACAGCGGCAATTGCCCATTCAATCGAGGGACCGACAAACCGTCTCAACGCTCACCACCGTCGCCTCGAGAAAGCAATGCCTCGGCGATCCCTAGTTCGATGCTCCCTCAAAACGGCACTACACTACCGCAGCGCGGTGCCCACGCAGCGCGGTGCACCAAGCCTCAGTCCACAGCAACGAATGCGGACTTACAGCACCACGCCCACCTGAGAGTCTCCCTCAAGACGGCATGCGACGCCTGCAGCCCGTGCGGCAACGTGTGAGCAGGCATCAACGGCCTCGTCAAATACCACAACCGATCTCCCAAGGAAGAGATCGACAGTCAGCCTCCCAGAACCAGGCGGGATACGTGGGATCAGAACCAGACGCCAGGGCCGGCGCCATCCCTGGGAGGCGCCGTCCCCTGACTCCAGGTGCCCCAGCTGCGAGCGTGCGCCAGTCCCGTGTTGAGCACGCCAGGCGGCGGCCCAGGGCAACGCAGGCCCCCAGCC